GATATGACTTCCCTCATCAATCTGCTTTGCACTTCTGGGATGAGGATGGAGGAGAAAGCCGGTGTAACCATTGCCTAGAGGGTAATCTGACGAGAATTACCGCTCAGGAGTCCACATGATTTAAGATTCTCTTTTTCTCACGAGCCCTATATGTCCATGTGTGAGCATAGAATCCCTGCAGTCCAGCTGAACACACACACAGGATGCTTTAACATGCCACACAGCCGTCCTGCTTTATCCTCAGTCCTCATGTTTCTCTGAGGGTTTATATAGCGGCGGGTAAAGCATCGGGGCCTATAACTTGATGTAAATGGAGAAGGTGTTTACAGCTACGGAGACAAAATAAATGAGCTAGGGGAAACCTAAACCCTGCCGTTGGCAGTGTTACACAGATTCTCTAAACAAAGGAGTCCTTTTTATTGTTTTGTTGTCACGATGTTGTGCAGTTTGACTGTTTGTATATGTGACCATGTCTTCCTGGTGGTCACATGATGAGTATCAACATTCTTTATAGAGTTATTATTGAAAGATTGAAAGCTGTTAAAGGATAATATTGTATTTTTTGATGTAATGTCGTAAAAGATCCAAATTAATTAAAGCAAGACTTTTGCTGAACAGTCACACAACCCTGACAAATAACATTTATATATGACTTTACTTATACGAAAGGCAGGACTGTGACACCGGAGAGTGGGATTCACAGTCTGCACACCACATGTGGTCAGGTTCGGGCCACAAAAAACACTTTGCATAAGGTTAAGAAAGATCCTAGTAAGTCTTGACTTTCTTTTTAATCAAGATCACAATCTCTGCTGAGTGCCGAGTGCCTTACATAACCATAAAAACATTGTTAGCAGACATTGTATCGCTACGATGTGTTTTTTTTACATGTATTAATCTTTTATTTATTGCCAGTGGGCAAATGGATTGTAACGTAAAACTGAGACCTTCCCCGACTCGGTTGCCTATAACAGCCTGACTAAAATCAGCGACCTGATTATGTAATTTGGTGTTTGTAATACAGCAAAATTTCTGTCTTAACTTTGCTGATATTAACCACCATAAACTGCTGGTCACGCCAGACCAAATAAGGCTGTAGAGACAAAACCCCTAAGAAAAGGAAATTCAGTTTGAGAGACAGATTATTGCGTTTAAAAGGCATCAGACGCCACAAAGATAAACAATACACACCATTCACGATATAAAGTTAATCCACCAGAAATGTGCACTTGCATGTATTTGATTAGCCAACACGGTGCCTTATCAGATGAAGTCCCATTTCGGTGCAGCAAAAGCTGAGCCGGATTCAATGTTTTGGGTGGATGACCCTGCATTTCTTTGGGGGTGCCCCCCTGCATTGGCACCCCCAGCTGTGTCACAGGACTGGCTCTATTTAAAAATTTAGGAAAACGTTTTTTTTTTATGCTTGGCTTAAGTTGTTCTGAGTTAGTGTTGGTCCCTCTTAGTCGACAAAGATTTTATGCTTTTTTCATGCTGAATGACTTATTTCCAATAAACTAATGAGTGCATCTCCGGTAAACACAAGATTTGAAGTCAACTAAGAATATCTTTAGTCGAGGACAGCCCTAGTCTGAATGTGGCTGTTGAACTGAGGAAGCCTGCTTTGTGTTGAATACCTTTTGATTAGACTCAAGATTGAAGAATGTTTTTCAAACTATTTCAAAAGTTACATCGTCGCTGTAAGGGCCACGGTTTTGCCTTATACCATTTCTAACCTCTCTACGTCTTAACCAATCGTTCTTTACTGTACGTTATTCACGTGTCTTCTCGGACTAATTCATTTTACATTTTGTCGTATCCTGATTTAAAGGGTGTGCAAATGATAATCTCACAGGGTCTCTGTCTCTCTCCCTTTCTCTCAGTCTCTATTTTCCCTCGCTCCGGCCACGTGCGTGCTCCATCCCTCTGTCACGGAAACACACTCCTCTGTAATATAATGCTGTAGTTTGATCCAGACCTCCCATTCATTTGTTTAGCTATAAAGGTCTATGAAGTTGATATGTGTTTACATATTTGTTCACCCCTTCACTTGTTTCCAGTAACTATGGTTGCTGGCTTGACTTGTGTGTGTGTGTGTGTGAGAGAGAGCGAGAGAGAGAGAGAGAGAGAGAGAGAGAGTGTGTGTGCTATCCCAATTGCTGAATTACACAACTCTTTCCACCCTGGGGCCTGAGAACTGGTCTGATGTGACCTGATGATTTTATTGCAGCAACAGTCCTTTTTTCAGGTCTCTCTCTCTCTCTCTCTCTCTCTCTCTCTCTCTCTCTCTCTCTCTGTGTGTGTGTCTCTCTGTCTCCCACACACGCACACACACACTTTCCCTCTCTGTGTCTGTCTCTCACCTCCCCCTCTCAATTTATTTTTCTCCCTCTACATCTGTTAATCTGCTCAGGGAATAGCAGCAGACACAGTTTTCCAAACCTCTGTGCATTTACGTGTCATGCAATTCATCATTGGTAAAGTCTTGGAAGAGCCCAAGTTCTGAGAAAGTCCGACTACAACCCAGAAACGGACCCTGAACTCCAATCAGATTACGGCTCGCTCATCTAGCTGGGAGCTGGAAATAGCTTTATTGCAGGTTTGGGGTTGAGGTGGTCAGCATGCCCCCAGAAAAAAAGGTCCTTATCTGCATCTTCAAATCATTCTTTGGTGCTATAAATAAAAAGCCCAGACTCAGCAGAAAGATGTATGCAATTACAGAAGAGATGAGATTGCTCGCTGTGGTTCTTTTTCGTGTGGTGCAACTTGTGAATGTTATTTTGCTTCGTGTGCCACCTTGATACATCTAAAAACTGAATATTAACACTGTGTCTCACATTTCAAAGTCAAAGTTTGCTTTATTGTCAATTCCACAATGTACTGGACATACAGGGGAGTTGAAAAGACGTTTCTCTCTAGTCTAACATATAAACATATAAACATATAAAGTGAATACAGTGCAATAGATTAAAAAAAAACATTTAGACAATATATATATAATAAGAGAAAAAAAACAAAAAAACTATCAATCTGTATTTAGCAGCAGTTGGACATGGGGATTTAGCAGCAGTTGGACATGGGGAGTCTTAAAAGAGAGGAGGGAGAGAGTTCAGAGAGTTCAGCTTCCTAACAGCCTGGTGGACGAAGCTGTTTGAGAGTCTGGTGGTGCGAGCATGGAGGCTCCGGTATCTTCTCCCAGAGGGCAGGAGGCTGAAGAGACTGTGTGAGGGGTGGCTGGAGTCGGGCACAATCATGGTCACTTTGCGGGTGAGGCGAGTGTCGTATATGTCCTGCAGGGAGGGGAGTGAGGGGAGTGAGGCACCAATGATCCTTCCAGCTGTGTTCGCTATGCGCTGCAGGGCTTTCCTGTTGTAGTCAGTGCAGCTTCCGCCCCACACAAACATGTCTCATCACTGCAACATACGCTTCGCTGTATGTCTCTCCCTGTGAGCCTCTCACTGCCTGTGTGGTGTTTTGCAGAAAATTGTGGCTATAGTCGCTTCATGAGCCAAAATGACTCCTTGCACGAACTGAAAGACCCAAGCCAAGCTCCTGCCTTTGTTAGGAAAGGCCTTGCCATCGCTAACCCCTCAGCCTGCTTCCATTACACCGACACGGGAAAAGATACTCTGGAAGAATCAGTTATATTATTTGACTCTTGCTGGGAGTCCCCCATTTTGGTTGCATTTGCTGACTTGAAGACGTAAACAGTGAAATGCAGTTGCAGAGCAGTTATATGATGTTAAACTCACAAGAATATTGCTGTGTTTTAGGGACAAATGGTGGACGTAAATGTATGAAAATGGCATGACTTCTGCTGAAGGTTAAAAGTCAATCATGCATGGGGCACGGCTGCTCTTTACCAGTAATGTGCGTTTGTTAGTACAAGGCTGTCTGCAAAGCCATTAAAGCCTGAGCCCTGTTTTCAGACCTCGTCATGCCCTCTGGTCTTTGTGTTTTCATCATGGTTCATCTCTGATTGATTGTGACAGGGAACAATAACGGGCACACGGAGAAAGGGAATTCTCTCTGGCTACTTGTCAGTCCATATTAGCTCAAAACACCCCCGACCCCCCCCCCCCCTCCAAAATCTGTGCGACTGATTGCCAGTTGAGTAGAGAAAATGATATAAGCATGCTGCCAGCACCCTTAATAAGGGCTTTATACGGCTTTATTAGTGGTTGATAAAATATTTAGTAATGATATATAGACCAATAATAAGCCGTTAATAAGAACAACATTTGAGGTGGTATTAGGCAGGACCAAGCTGCTTTTCCCTTTCATTAATAAAGGTCAATGCATCTCACATAAGCCATCAATTCTGCAGCTGCAAATAATAAAATTAGTTTCTCACTTTCAAAATAGATCAACAAGTTTGCAGTTTTTATGTTAGTAATTTATGAATAAACGTGCAATGGATTTACCTTTCTATAAAACATTGATTCAGTTTAAATGTTAATATGTTAGGAAATAATACTTTGGTCCCGATACTCTGCAGCTCTTTTCCAAAGGTCAAAGGGTCCATTGGAGTGGTCTTCCTGATCAATTAAAGGGTGTTATCATAAAGTGGTACCACATGTAAAATACGTTTCTCAGTTTAATGTGTGATTTAGCATTCATGAACAATAAGAGCATAACGTGATGTCGGCACATTAATATGTACTGAAAATAAAAGTAATTGCTTTTTGCCTGGGAAAGGTCTCAAGGAACAATTCCAGAGAAAGAGACGTTGAATTTATTACTCTGGTTAAAAAAAAAAAAAAAAAAAAAGCCTGCAGGAAACAGGTGGGACTGGTGAGAATCAAGTAAGAAAAATTGTGTTCGTATGGAACCAAAGCATTATGAAAAAATAGCATTTTAAATGGCATTTCAACATGGCAGACAAGACCATCATTTCCTAATTTGGAGTTAAATGTTTTTACAGATCTATTACATTTGATTATCTACTGAATGCAATGCAAAGCTGGAGTGATTCTGGAGACTTAAAAAGGGCTCATACAGATTTTGCATTTTGTGTTTTTAATAACAATCACGATCAACAAGTCAATCAAACAATATTACTGCAAAAAAACCTCATCTAAATATCACCTAAAGGCAAGATGACTCTGACTGGGCGAATGTCAAAAAGTACAGGGATTGAGAATCGTTCTCCTGACTCTAATGAGGTCTAACTGTACATCCAGCCACTGTCATGTAATGACTTTTCCCCCCTCCCTTATTCTTTTTTTTTTTTGTTCCATTAGGGCTTCACACTGTAAAGGAGCACCAAAACAAACAGAGAGGGAGCAGAGGGATGAAAGACTGCAGTGTTTTTGGGAACTACACACGCGATTCCTTGTCAGCTGGCTGGAGTGACTGGTGACGGGTGAGTTGATAGGAGAGCGAAGGACTTCACTGCATTTAAAATGACACGACATTTGCAATTATTGCTGGAGAAAAGTGCTCTGATTCAACTTTCTGGGGATAGTCCCCTTTTAATACGATAAGACTGACGTCAAACATATACTGGATCACATACAACAAGTCAAACTAATTAGTTTGTTACTGATTAGTTTGTATACTAATTAACTAGTTAGTTAGTCACAAGGAAATGTAACAGTACCCTTAGTTTAATATAAAAGTGTTTCCACCGATGGAGATAAAGTTGTTTTTTGTCCCAGTTAATGAAACAATCCATATATGACAAGTTGCATAACAGACCAAATCTGCCATTCGTGAAAAAGAAATTCCATAAAAATACTGTTGCGTAACACATGTTCTTTTCCAGTATATTCTTTGATGTCCATAAATAATTTGAACCTGTTAGAGATGAAAACTTCCAGTGAATGGCAGTGTGCTCATGGCTTGTATCCATCACAGTTCTTCGCTTCTATACAGGTCCCCATCCTCTTCTTCTTCTTCTTCTTCTTCTTCTGTCCATTCTATTAGATGCACCGCAAATACAAAAAAAAAGGCCATTACTACTGGCTGGCCAAAAAAAAAAAAAAAGTTTGGCTCAACTTCTTTGTTCATTCACTTTCCATTGCAAATCCAGCAGGCATTCTCTCAGCTCTCCTTTTCCCTGACCACAGCTATGGCTTTGGATACAGCAGCAAGTCTGTCCTTTCTCCTTTTGTGTTTGAAGATAGTGTCCACGGTTTGAAGGGAAGGGAACCTAAGACAAGGTGAAGGTATAACATCCAGCCTGAAAGGACCCTTCCATTGTTCAGCAGAGCACAATCTATATTTGTGACTATTGACAATATCACCCCACGGCTAGAGACAGGAAAACTGCCCTACTGAGATTAGAGATTAGAATTTGGTGGAAATATTGTAAAATAAACAACGTAAGTCTCTTTCATTCATTGTACTTGTAGCACCTCCCGATCTAGCTTTAGGAGTGTGTTATCGACCTTCACAAATCTAGAGGGAAATATTGAAAGAGCATGCTTTGATTGCAAGATGACGTTTGGTTTGGATTTTTTAAAGAGGAAAATAACTATTTGTCATCCAGAGTGGGGGAAGAAATAGAAAAGAATGATGACCTCACGTTTTTAGGAGAAATCTGCATCCTTACAAAAATGTGTGACCTCCAGAGTGATGTTCAGATCTAGGCCATGAGAACACAGGGTCAGGGAAAGTATTTGTCACAGCTAAGAGTCCAAAAGTCATCGAGCATGGGTTTTTCGTCAGTACCTAGTAAAATCCTGCCGTGCTACCTCGCCTTTCACGTCTTCTCAGCTACACTTGCAAGACTTCACGATCATGTTGGAGAGCTGCTCCACTACGGGGGTCCGTCCAGAGTAGTAGAGTATAGTGAGGGGTTCCAGGTCTTTAGGGACACAGCAGGGGGAGGCCGATGCCTCGGGATTCAGAGTGTTGTACAGGCTCAGCAGCTATTGGAAAGCACACAGGAGAGATTGTATTATATTCATAATCTCATGAGGGATTTAGTCTTGATAATAAACTTGCTAGATTAAATCAGTGGGATAGCTCGACTATGAGTATCTATAAATAATGCTGTGACGCGCCCAGAACGCAACTTAGGGTTCAGTGTCGCGCTCGAGGACACTTCGACACGCAGACGAGAGCCGAGGATCGAATGGCAAGAGACGACCCGCTCTGTCCACTGAGCCACAGTCGGCCCTGGTAGATTTTTCTTTTATAGTGACTACATTTTCGGTAGAAAGTAGTTTAAAAGTCTTGAAAAGTGTTTGTCCCGTGAAGACCCCTATTGAGAAGCAGAGGTCCCAAATTCAGTTGGGATATCCACTTCAAAACAAAGAAACTAGAACTATCTGCATGGCTATTTACCACTAGAAGTAAATGACAAACTATATGCATTGTGTTGTAATTTTCACTGTGGGATCGGTGCTTCTTACCGAGCTGTGTGTTGTATCCGAGCTCCTCAGGTAAGGACAGGGCCCGGAGCAGTAGTTGGCATCGTAGCCACTGGGCTCATGGATCCACTTCCAGTCCAAGTCACGACGGAAATCGATGTGGAGCCGGCGAACGCAGCAGCTCTCCTCCGTGTTTCTGTGATGTCGATGCACAGCAATAGTTAAATAAATTAGCCGCCAAATCAAGTTTTGTAATGGTGCTCCTAATAGTAAATATCTTCTTTTGGGATATTATAATATGTGTATAAGCTGATGCATACGGCATTAATAAGCACAAGCTTTTCACAATTGTGTGATTAAGAAACGGAAAGGATTTGACCCAAAGACTAAATGTACTAACATTGTACACTATTTTCTAAAGATCATTCATGTATCCCTTACGAGAAACAGTAGTTTGTGTCCAGCGCTCTCTTGCGTCGGCGTGTGGACTGAGTGTCCAGGCGGTGGGGTGGGATCATCATGAGGATAAGGTGAGGCAGGTACTGGTCCTTTCTCTTCTTCAGCTGATCCAGATCCCAGCGACTCTGCTCGTCGTCTCCATCCACACCTTAATTATAGACACGATGCACTTAAACCAACTATTTAGTGACTTTTTTCTAAATTGTTGGATTAAGGACCACATGAATATGCAACACAATCCATTGCAGCTAAACTGACACCTGGCATAAATAACTATATGACAAAATATTGTCGAAGCCTACCTTTAAACTTCACCTCCAGCACCTCATTCTCATTGTCAATGATGTCACCGTTTGGGTTGAATGTGTGACAGGGACAGTGCACACTGATTTCCAAACCCAGATTAGTTCCTGGTAGCACACAATGGAAAAGAGTATTTCTAAAAAGAAGGCCGAGTTAACAGTCTCCCTCTTTAAAATACAATGCTTACTTGCTCACATTTCTGAGGTCAAACATGGGATGATCATTAGGAAATAATCATAGCTTTTAGAGACAACAAAGGACACAGTCTTACCTCTGTTCGTCAGCCATTCCCGCACTGTTTCAGTCACATCGAAGGAGACCCACTCTGAAGTACCTTTGGTCAGCACGTTCTTGGCTGCAAGGTAGCGTTGTTTCCTGATGTGTTCATTTGGCCTTACAATCTGCAGAGCGATAATAATAACGGTCACTCTAAAAAGTTCTCTCTCTCTCAATAGTGGACCAGCTTCAACAAAATAACACGTAGAATAGAGCGGACACAGGGGAGGACGTCTGTGCGAGAAGAAGCTCCAATTCGTCATACTCGTGATTGTTGTTTTAGTTATCCACTTGTAATGAATCATGCTGTGAGCTCAGATGTGATTACTGGAGCATGCAAACAGATGGTAGGCGGGGGAAAACAAGTTTATGAAATCGCAGCATATATGTGACATTAGACTCAATTAGGTGATTAAACAAGACTTAAGCCACATGATCAGCAGTAAATTTGCTCTGCACTAGCTGTGCCATTGCTCTCCTGTTTTGTGTCCAACTGACAAATGTAAGTCCAATATTCACTCTTCTTTTTCGCTCTGTTTTTCCCTTTTGAGGGAAATATCTGTCTCATTAGCTTGTTCTACTTTCTAAACAAGCTAGCTAACTAGTAGCTAGCCTTGTCTGTACTGTATGCTGTTCCTCAGCCAGGTCGGTTATAGTTAGTTTATCAAAGCTTGTTTGCTGAAATTAGCTGCCTGCTGTGGGAGGAAACGCGGTTGTAGAAGGCAGTGATATTTAATAATACAGTAAATTATTGTGCCGTGAGACCAAAACAATAATCTAAAAAAAAGTTAGAGCTGCAGCGTTGGATGTTGATGTTGAGCAAACTCTTTTTCGTATTACCTCTAGTTCTTTTATTTTTCCACAATATGAAAATATTGATATATAGACATCATGATGTGTGCAGTCATAGCTTTGGCTTAAAAGGGTAGTTGTGGTTGTTCTGTGTGTACAGTGGGAGCACCTAATGTATTAAGTAGCGTTAACACAATGGTAAATTACTAGTCCAGCCCCTGACTTGTCTCTGGAGTAAAACATTACAAATGTACACATTTATGCTTTCCATGACTTATGAAGAAAGTATGAACAAATAAAATGTCTCACTCGAGTATGACTCTCGTCGGCTCTCTTCAGGATTCCTCTCCCCTGTGTAACGCTGGCCACCAGATTAACCTCATCTGAGGACCAGAGTATCTGTGTATGGTGGTATGTTTTCAATTTTATTTCAATAAGTTGCTTTATATTGAGTCGTTAATGCCAAGGACATTACAAGCAAAGATCAGGGACCTGATGACGTTGACTTACTGTGTTGCATCATCACAATCAGCAGACCAAAGCCCCTTTTTAGCTGCCTAATAAACTTTGCCTACTGTTTTAGGGACTAAAGAATAAAGACCTCTACATAACCAAAATGAGGACTGCATTAGATCTGGGCTGACAGCGCTGCACTAACAGTACCCCTGTCACGGTTCTGCTAACATTCTGCAGGCCTGTTTGTGCTTTTTGGCTTTTGGTCTGGCTGTTACCCATGCATGCCTGAAACCATAATCTAGTTTTTGTTGACTCCCTTTGCCAATTAGGGCCTGAAATCATGTTGTGGAGAACAACTAAACAGCTTATGTAAGATATGTTCTTGACAATTTGACCCATCTAATAACAAAGAAAAGAGGCTTTGAAGCTCCTTTGTTGCCTTGACCGTGAGCTTTGCCTCTGATCCTGGTAGAAGGACAAGGAAACGGTACCTTTACGCACCTGGTAGAGCTCAATCCGCTGTTCATTCCTCTTGGAACTTGAGTTTGGTACCCTCAGAGCTCGAAACTCTGCTCTGAAGAGGTTGGTTGAGTTCCTCTCCATGGCGGAGACATTGAAGCGGAAAACCTTAGAGGTGATGCCTTTTGGGCAGTAGAGCAGATCGTCTGGATCAAAGGAATACAATAAAAGTTTTGTGAGAGAAGAGGCTTGGAAATTCGTATCAAGTTCTGATGCAATACAAGCAGTTTATGTCCGAACACGGACCTCGAATGGTACATGACCTCTGGACAACATAATACTTGCATTCTGATCTCCTTCATACTGAATTGTTTAACTGAAAAGACTTCCAGTAGGCCTTCATCACAGCAGACATGTTGACTCGTCATAGTAGGAAAAACTGGCTCTGTTGTATTAGAGTCCCAGTAAGTCATTACAGTGTGACAGTGAGCCATGTATGCACAAAACCACGACCCTGAAACAGAAGCAGCTAAATGGAATTCAACCATCATTCATTTTATTATTTAAACCTGTGCATGTTCTCTTTTGGTAAGCTGCTGTGCAAAACCAGAATGTCCTTATGAACAAGATGTTGGCACCATAACAACTAAATGATACTTCTAAACACTCATGTCTGCAGCTGACATTAAGGCTGTGAATGTTGAACATTCAAAAAGTTAACAATAGGGCTGCAACTATTGATTAATCAGCCAATTATTTTCTCTATTATTCATGTAATCTCTTCGTCAATCACAAAAGTAGTGACGACAATGCCTATCCAAATTTTCTTAAGCCCAAGAGTTTATCTGACGAACACTAAAAAGTACATAACACCGAAAAAATACTAATTTTGCTAAATAAGAAGACAAGGGAAAACGGCAAATCTGTACAATTGAGGAGCTGAAACTTTTGAAAACTTTTTTGAACCTTTTCCAGCTGAGTGAGGGAGAAGTGGGTTGGGCGAGGGGTTTCTTTGGATCAAACTTGTATACGCTTGATGCCAGAGTAATTTCAGTGGTGTTCCAAAGAGGTGCTGTACTCTGTTAACTGAGTTGGCAGTAAATGTAATCATTTCAAACTCTAGATGGCAATGAAATGGGCTTTTTTTATATATGTATATACTGTATCGTATTGCTTCAGAAATAAAGCTATACTTTAATATGAACATAATGGCTATATAGACTCATAAACCCATTCACACCTAAAATATGATGTTGGGTTTACTGACTCTTTCATGGCTGGCACTAAGTTTATCAGCCCACAGTGAATGATTAGTGTGGTTGCTTGCCTTATCAAAATTCCTCAGTGTTTCTCGAACACATTTTGTCTATATTTGGTGGAAATAAAAATGTTGTAATTGAAGTAGCAATATTATTGAGCTTAGTATGACTTCACCGCCCTGGTATCTGCGTGTCAAAAACCCTGCTATCCTCGGCCACACTTGACAACTTGTTGGACCCAAACCCCTTTCTGACCATGATGACTTCTCCACAACTCAACCTCAGTCATTGACATTTGCCAGATTCTGTACGCGTACCACGCTATAAAAGGAAATCTTTCCGATGATTGCAGTCCAGCCTCTCAATGTAGTAATTTGCCAGTCTTCCAGCAGCTTTCTGCTTCATTTGCACCTGTCACAGATTTGTTTTGGTTCACAGAGCTGCCTCAGATCCACCAAAGGTCAACAGTTTACCTTCAAAAACCATCAAAAAGCGAGTGTGTGTTTGCCCACATTAACCGAGGGAAAGAGAGTGATGTGACTGGCCACGAGTCAAAACTGTATTCCACAAAGCCAGGCTTCTGGTCCTGTTAAACCACAAGGGCCAACACACTTAGGGGCCTGTGTCTATTTTGGTTTAAATGGACTAATTTGCTTTCTTGCTGAGAGTTGGCCGAGAATATTGTGACTGATTTTGACAAAACAGGAAGAAATTATTTATGACGTGCATCATTTGTGGGAGAGCTATTGTTAAGAGGACTGAAAGCAGACGAGACAAAGTGTGTGTGTAAAAATACACCTGTAATTAAATATCATAAAGTGGGGCTACAGTAGGTACAATAGAGCTTCCCATTCACACGTGTATATATATGTAAAACTTGTATATGCTTTGAGTTTTGATCGGAAAACTTAAACGTTTAGGGCTTTATTTACTTTCTATGAAATGGCAAACATGATGAAGATGCAGAATATATAGAAATGTAATATATTTTATATATATTTACGATGTAATTTCTGTGTTTCATCCACAATATATTGTGTTAATCTGCTGGTCATTTAACTGAAGAAAGTTGCCCCTCCCAGAGTAGAGTGAGAGTGAATCTATAAAACTGTTGATCTTGCTCCAGCATATGAAAATCACATTAACCAGCTGAGAGAGTAGGCTCACTGTATGGATGTGGATATACAGGGTATTGACAAAAATGTATATTTCCAAGTATGACATCATCTTGGACACATTAAAAACACTCTGCCATGCCAATACCACAGTTTTAAGAATATTATTAGCTTGTTGACATTTTAAGTATCTGAGTGCGTGCTTATAAATATACTTCCATCTGTTCAGCACTTATGCTGTTATATTGACTTTCTGCCTTTTTACATCTGTTTTTCAGCTAATCGCATCAAACTCGGGCATAAAGACCATAACACTACGTCGAAAGAAACTCTGATCTTCATCCAACTGTACGTGTATGTTATTGTGTCTTGCATCACAAAGTTAATCTGTGGCTCTGAATCCAATGAAACCACCACGCCAACGCAAGGCACCTACCGCTTTTGTCAAAAACATTTTGCCAGATTCGAAACAGAACATTGCTGAGGGAAAATAGGTCTTTTGAGAAACACCTGTTGATTTCAAAGGGACTGTGATGCAATGGTCTTGGCTTTGCTCTGGACAATGAGGCCCTCTTTGGCTCCTACACACGCACAGCATTTATCCTATTCTACTTTCTCTGTAATCCAAACTCAGTCGGCCCACATGCTGTATGAATCTCCCTCAAGTGCTGACACATGTCCCTCTCAGCAAAAGTTTTCCACTCATAGCTTTTGTTTCTATAAAGGAAATGGCTGCGCCGAATACTGGGTTAGCACAAATCGCTTGAAATAAAAACAATGTGAGCCGAACAAGACTTTACCGATAATCTTAACAAATATTTCACCAACAAGATAAAGCTCATTATTAACCAAGCAGTGAAATGTTACGGCACAGTGACGGCACAGTGGAATCATTCAAGTTTTAGGGGGACGGATGCCGGCTCAGTTTCACACTCAATTTAGCAAAGTTAAACCTGAGCAGTGCAGTAAGTGATCTCATGCTCATGGGCCACCCGTGTGGGTAATTCACTGGCCAAGACAGGAAGTGGGGTCTTTCTAAGCTCCATCTAAATGATGTGTCGGTGAATGCGAGGGCTTCATGGGACCACTGTACAGACCGACCGAGAGAGGGATGCCTCTATCCAGACTAACGGGGAGGTGCCTCCATCAGCTAACTTTTCCTGTCCACCTCAGTTCACTTTTCCTACTTCTTCTCCTAAAGGCATCCCCATCCGCCTGGGCAGATGTCCCTCTCATTTGGGCCTGACGGGAAAGGAAGTGGGAACATCTGGGGAGAAGGACAGAATCCATGGAGGGAAAAAAAAAACGAGAGGAGGAAGAGTGGAGTCAGGAGTAGGAGAGTGACTTTCCTGGAACACTGGTGCAGAGTTGAAACAGGTTGGTGAGCACTGCAGTAACAAAGCACACCGTCCAAGTGCACAGCTAATTCACTGTTTAGTTTTACAAAACATAAAAGAGCTCTGACATTTTTTTTTTTTTTTTTTTACAAAACTGTTGAGTCACAAATATTACATAATAAAGTCCCCGATCCACTCAGAAATATGTTTTGCTTATTGTTTGTTCACTTGGATGTTTGAGCTTCACTGTGCAGAATGATATTTGTGCAGTTTGACACGAAAAAAACTGTTTTCACATTCATCAAGTCTAAGTATTACACGCGTACCTGCAAGATGATTATGTGACATCACAAATAGTCTGGAAGTCCATCTGCGGTCCAGTGTGCAACTCACAAGTGTGATGTGGCAACTTCATGCCTCCAGCACACATACACTGCGAATGGACTTTACGTTGAAGTAGGAAACATCTTGTGGCCAGCAGGTTACATTTTGAAAGACTATTTTCATATTTATAGATTGTGAATCTTATTTTAATTGTGTGATTATTAAAATAGGGAATTTATCTTTAAGTGGGGAAGCCCTATCTGACACAAATGCTTTTTTTAAATCAGTGTTTTTATGTTTCTTTATTGTGGAGCAGAGTAAAAACTCAGCGACAAAGAGTTGCTGAATTACAAGCTTTTAATACTGCAGATATTTATGAATGACATAGGAGCCTAGCTGAAGTTTTGAGATTCCGTCTAGCTGGCTCGGGCTTTCGGCGTGCACTCTTAATTTAGTGCGTAATTACGCACTACGGACCCGTGGATTACTAGCATATAAACAAGACAGCAATAGAAACACTTACTGCTTTCTGGCGGTCCGTAGACCATGTTGAATTTGTATATCTCTTTGGCATAGTACTCTGTCTCTGTGTTGTCCTGACCGCAACTTTGCTGCCGATCCCTCCTGAGCTCCTCCAGTAGCTCCTTGGTGCTGTTGTACAACGCTTGGATTTGATAAGGGATTTTATTCGGTCCGAGAGAGTGTGGAGGACTGGTCAGCCGGAGTTTGCTCAAAATCTGACCTCGTATCGCCTCGACCCTCTTTCTTTTCACATGATCGATGTCCACGGTGGCACAAGTCGACAGAGATGAGCTCAAAGTTGCGCAGTTGAGGAGGAGGACAAACAGTAAAGCCTTGCCCAGATGCATCTTTCTCTCTGCATTTGGTTCGCTCGGTAGTTGAAATGTGCAGATTCGCAGGCGAGGACTGCCGAGGTCAGTGTCAACTAGTTTTAACTTCCTTATGAACTAATGATGAAAAACTCCTCACTTAATTAGTTTTCTTGTGGCAGTCCCTTTTTTGTTATCAGCAGGAATCCAAGTGTGTGTTCGCCCATGAGACATTACTCAATTCAAAGTCCCGAACAACAGAAACTGTAAAAATGTATCCGGCACAAACGCATCTGTAGAAACAAACTTTTCTTTTGCATTCTTGTGCTCAATCCAGTAGATTCAAGTCGTCCCACGGCTTGGCACGTTTCTCCTCTTTCTGTCTCGTTAAGATCGCGTGCCTCTTTATTGTCTGTGCGGAGGCAGACCGCAGTCTGTCAGGTTAACGAGGTATATGCGACTTTTGAGCGGTCGGTACGGCCTCACGTGTTTTATACCGCTCGTTTCTGACGTTTGATGGAGGAGGGACCGCAGGCACCCGGTGGAGCCCAAATCATAACAGCGCTCACTGCGATGCATCACGCATCAACTAATAAACATGTAAAATAGTTTTTTTCTTTCCACGACAATCTTATGAGCGGTTATGAAGTTGGAACGTTTTGGCCTTAATATTCTCGCCAGTTTTCTCTTACTTAAGGCGTCTGAAGTGGAGTAAATAGCTGTCCTCGGTCTATCTTGGTCCTCCGTTATTGAATTGTAATGTGTTTTAATATCAATAGGGATCTTACAGGCTTCTCAGATCAACTGATGTTTTTCCTGGTTGTGCATCACACTGTAGCCTGGGTCGTGCTCCCTCTAGTGGCGAATTACTTTCGGTGATTCGGATATTATATTTCCTCTCTCAGAGTTTTAAGATATTGTATAATTATACACTTTTTTTGGACGCCAGTATGTTAAGATGTTTATTCTCTTCTGAATCATAAAAGCTCCGTGTTCGCTTCTGATTGTCCTCCGACAGCCTGATTTAAGGTCAGTTTTAAAGGTAAATGTAGACCAGCACAACAATCAAATCCAAGTCTGGGATTTGAAATATTAAGTCTAAAGTTCACACATTATTGCTCTGTTCAAACTTAGTCTCACAAATGTGTCATACACTTTTCTTGGACAAAAGAGAGTAATATTTCATATTATTTGTCCGATTCACAATAACTGGGTTAATAGATTTTACACATTATCATTTCATAAAGATCATTTCTGATCATCCATAGTTGGGTGCGTGTCCGCTCTTCTTTTGCTTGAGCCCTCTTACAAAGATCCACACAATTCAGCACATGCTCTCAAATGACATGCTCATTCTGGCAACATGATTTGCATTACTGTTCAAAAGACCCATTTCTTCTGTCAGTGCAGATTTTCCCATGCCCTCTGCACACCACCACCAACACAAAATTAATTCATATGCGCTGATGTCTGAGGGTTCATTTGCAGGCCCTTAAGGGTATTTGATCTTTTAGATGTGTCTCCCCCCACAGTCTGTTTTATCTCTATCCATATAGAGCATATCCACATTCTCAGACCTATTTTAGGTCACAGCTCACTCAACCACTAGAGGCCCCTTACCCATGGGGTGTGGTATTTCACTGTGTTTCTATTGCCCACCAGTTTGCAAAGCAAGAATGATTTCGTAGAATGTCCAAACTTGGTCAATATTTGGCTTTTTTTGGGGTTTTATATGTATACAACAAGGTCATTTCTTCCTCAACAGACTATAATACTTGAATGAAAATGAATCTTTCATACATGCTCATGCACCGTCTGACATCATCTCACTTGCTATCTGTTATTTTTCCTCCAGTTAAAGCCAAAAGCGTGATGTGATTTATTTTCATTATCTGTGAACGGTGCATGATGTTGAGTCATTTTGACTTCTTGCATGGAAATGGGCTTCAATCAGCAATTTGTTGCCCAACACTATAAATACTGTATATCAGTTGCAGTGAAGTTGTGTCCATTGCGCTGTTCAAGCAGCCGAACTGTAAAAGCTCTGCAGTTTAATGATAAAACCGCTAAGTATCTGTTGTCTTTAAGATTTTGGTCATAGGAATTGTGTTGCTTTTCTGTTTATTGTTTGGAAATTGTTTTCCCATAAAGTCCGTCCAAGCTCAGCCGGAAAATTCTTCATTGATAACTTTGGCTCAGTGACGTTTGAGCGATCCAAACCCAAAATGGGTGTTTGGGCTTTCTTGCATGATCCAAGAATGAGCAGAGAAGGAGAAGTCTTCATAGTCATTGTGAGACTATTTTAGGACAAGCACACTGGTATTCGTTAGCCACTTTCCCACAGTCCTCCATGCCTACTTTGTTGCATTGCGTTACAGCTTATCTCAAAAGAAAAACTGTGACACACATACATTTGTGATTGTATTCTCTCAGCAAGTGTGAACCACTTTTGTTTTGTGATCTTTCTTCTTGAGGATGATCTTCTATGAGTAAATAATTTCCTGGTTTATGTGACACACTTCAGTCAATATACCTTTCAATTAATGTGGCGTATTTAAATTCAAGTTTACATGCCACAGTCAAGTGAACATTTGGTTCTTCTGATGTCATAAAAGAGTTCCCTTGTCTCCATGTTGCTGCCGCTTCTGTCGCATCCTTTGGCATTTACAGTTGTGTTGGCAGTTCTCCATTAAGCCAGCAGGTGATGCTGCATAACAAATAATCTCTGCCGTCAGTGTCTGTATGTCACATAAGAGCAGAGAAACTCAACATCTTGTACATTTTCAGAGGATCCTGTTATATAGAAATGTACCCACTTTATAAAGGACACCAATGCAACAGCTCGGCCATAAATTCTACTTTTACAAATATAATTGTGTTCACTTTTGTTTGACAATGTTAGAAAGGTATGGATTTAATTTACTGAGGTTGTAGCTTGCAGTAGCATTGAACTGGACGACTAGGTCTCATCGGTGTAGCTGATGAAGTGACTAAAGAGTCTATTTGTAATGCTTATGGAAAGCAACCTACATTCAAGAGTCCAGACATTTTACTACAATGTTTGTACATTCCACCAAACAAGTCTTTTTTTTTTTTTTGTGAAATGCCACTTTTAGTTTGAGTATCATTTCTGCAAAACAAAATAATGCAGAATGAATGACTTCGAAGATCTATATCTGATTAATTGTCATTATCAACACCACTATTGTACAGCTCTCCTCCTTTCATTCTTGCTCTCTGCTTGTATTAAAATTGGAAATAAATATAGGGCAGAGTTATAAATCTTCTTCCAGCTGTAACTATGGGTTGAGCATCCATTTCTATTTGTTTTATCAAGTTTGTGTGGAGAGATTCTGTAATGGGGTCGTTGGCCTTCATCAGGTGGCCGTACTCACCTCATCACATGGACTGGACTGGTGCACAGAAATTACATCATCCCACACACACACACACACACACATATTGTACTATTCCAACCTGTCTGGGGATTCCTAGACATGATCCTAGCCATCACCATCAAAGTTCATTTTTACTCCAAGCGTCCTCCAGTGATTACCTCACTGCTGGGTCAGGTTTTAGTGAGTCATTCTCCGGCAATCTCTCCGTCTCGCACAACACACAGGAAAGGAATGCAGCTACGGACCGGAGGATGAAAACAAAAAACACATGCTGGTAGCAATACGGAGGAAGAAGTCCTCTTTATTTTTCCTGTAATGCAGGTTACATTCCTGCTGACTGTACTTGTCATAGAGGTAACAGCAACTGTAGTGCTTAACCTCTTATAGCAGCACAGCGATAGGAGACCGTTGTGTTAACAAAACAAGATTTTAACGTGGTTTTGTAGAGTAGACGGAGTTCATCATCTGACCACTTACACAGTCCAGACTGCTTAATACTGGCTAGACAAAGTGAGACAAACCCCAAATACCAAGCAGACAGATTTCCCTGCTACAGCATACTGACAAGCCGGCACAGTGACGTCTGCTTCGTCTGGGGGTAACAAGCCCATGAGTCATACTTGGGGAGTCGGTTGGATAGGAATGCCAACAGGAGACCCTTTAAACCCACACCAGCGGAGACAGTGATGTGTATATGTCACAGCTATACGACTTAAATGACTCATTTGATTCGTCCACCATCTGTGTTAGTCATCGGTTTTCTTAATTCATGTACATAGGAAAGGAATACCACGCCGGCTAGACGATGACTTAAAGTGAGATCACGTGGAGTCAGCGAAAGCTTGTCTCTCGATGTGTCGTTGTTCTGCCTGAGGTCTATGTCGTGATACATGTAATAAATATATATAGTAATAAGTACAGTGCTTTAATTGATTCTTCATTTCACAAATGAAAAGTTTCATTCATATGCAATAAAGCTCACCACTGTTAAATGCTTTTCTAGCGTTCTAATGTCTTGTATTACCAATAGCTATAGGATACTGTTGCTTTGTAACAATGGATGTGTAAAGAGAATTGGATGCAGCGTTGGAGCTGGGTCTGGTTCATTCCTATGAAAGTCGCTCAGTGGTGCATGTAGCCAAAAAAGTTTGACTTCAGAGTGTAGAATTACCTGGATCTTCCACACTGCTTCAGCATCAATGGATCAAGTGCACAAACGTTTTCTTTGGCCTCTCTGCCGCTCGCTCTCGGGCTCATTCACCTGAACGGAGGACCTAATGATTTAAATTAGGACTATTTAAGTGTTTTTACTGGGAAGTTGATTTACCTCCTAAACTACAGGCGTCCTTTTCTCAATGTAAGTCTATGGGAAAACTACCTTTTGGGAATAACATCACATGCTGCACCCAGAGGTTGTAATTCCTCCGTTTGGCCACTATGTAAATTGTCCTTAAAGCCCGGCGCTCTAGTTTGTTGACCAATGACTCTCCACTTTTGCCAATGTTGCACTTTGTTTTAGCACATACCAATATCCCGTACTTGTTGCAACAGTGTATGCTGTTCAACATAAATTACATAATCTCACCGAAAGTCATTGCACTGCAGCACAGAAACACTTAAATATTTTGTTATGACATCTAACTTCTGTTGAGGTTGAATGCACTTATTGTAAGTCACTCTTGACAAAAGCATCTGCTATAATAATGTAATGTGAGGAATGTAATTGCATTTATTTTACATGTTTGGCCTACCATATTTGACAATTCATTTCACACTTTTGTCCACTAGGGAGCAGAAGACCTTGAAACCAGCTGACTGAGGCACATTCCTGACATGGCTAACGTGTTAGCAAACGGGGTGCTCGCTTGCAGGAGACATGGAGGGATATCCTCGACATCCCATTGGAGTTGTGTTTCTGTCCACCTGATGAATGTAAGTCCAATATTCACTTTTGCTTTACGTCTGTTGTGGTTTCCACCAACTCTGAAGCGTTCTAGTTGGTTGACCGTCTTCACCAGCTGGTTGCTAACTTTGTCTGTCTGCTGTTTGATG